TTAATAATTCTGGGCTTCTACTACGTAGGGTTTATTTTCTATATCCATTAAATACTTACGTTTAGATGAAGCATTTCTGTTGATCAGTTTAAGTATACTCTGAAGTGCATACACATCATTCTGCTCATAGTAGCGGCATTTTAGCTTCCTCAGCTTTCTTTTAAATGTATTCTGGCCCTTATAAGCATTATAAGCCACACGGCCAACAACTGGAACAGTGCAGTCAAGACAATATATCAGGTTGTGGTATAGATTGGAAAGCGCAATGTCAACATTATTTGTGGTAAAATAAGTTTCCCATGGTAAACATTGAATGAGAGTTCCAGTCCGTTTCCATGTTTGTTGATCAAAATGTTTGCTTTGGTACATCAATGAAGCTTTAGAGTTCAATTGTATGGCGTTTAAAGGGTGAATAATACTCAATACAACTCTATGGTCACTCATAAAAAACTCATGACTGGTATGCACTGCGATAGAGCCTATGTTGATTGTGAACATTAAATCAAGTGTATTATTCCCCCTTGTCGGTTTTCGGACCTGTTGAACCCATCCACAAATTTCTAATGTTTCAACTAGTTTGTTATATCGACCTGGTACCGGAGTCAAGCCCCATGTAATTTTTGGCAGATTAAAATCAACTCCGATGATTTAAAAAGTATGTGGTTGGTACGAAGCAGTGGAAAAGATGTTTGTTAGTAATCTGTCAAACTTAGTATCAGCATAGGTGATCTGTTTATTCATCCCACCAGTAGATAGTTTTGAGATCCACAGTTTACAGTATATTTTATTATCAAGAGATTTATCCTCAAATTTGCACGCCTGAATGTCTGAGCGGACATAGATAATTGTACCACCTCCTAATCCATAACATTTATCGGTTCTAAAGAAAACGTAGTTATCTTTCAAGGAATGATCGGATATAGATGATTTGCACCATGTATCCGTAATAAGTACAATGGTTGGATTAATAAGAAATAAAAGGTTTCTGAGATGAATAATTTTATTAGACAGAGAGCGAGCATTGAACGAAAGAATAAGAAACTCAGAGTTATCATGATGAAGCAGGTTAGAGTATAAATCGCAATTGGTAGTTCCATGAATACTCGTAGGATTAGCTAAGGTAAGAGTCGTGTTGCGAGGGGAAATAGATTCAACCACTTTGTCATCATGTGAAATATGTTTACCGTTGCCGGCAGGAAAGCCGGCGGAATTACAAAAAAAGTCTTCTCATTGCTATTGGATATAACATCTGATAAAAGCATAATGTACATACTGGAAGCCGGACCAACAAGGCTATCAGGTCTATGTGTGCGACCAAGTGGCCATTTACAATTCGGATTACTATTTATACCGGGTAACATGTTCCAGACAATTATTCCCAAGGTTTGTGGTTAATTTCGGCTTCTTCATAATTTGGGGAGAATCGTGTGCTGTTAAATATACTTGCGATGGTTTGCGAGGTTCGAATATATCGACGTTAAGTGTGTGGTCAGTCAAAGAAATGTTATGAATAATGTTCCTGTTATCCGTTGCACAGTTTCTGTAATTGGGTGTTGCACTAACAGGGATTTGGATTGTGTTATCTCATTCGTCATCAGCACAAAGACTCTGGGTTGAACCTAAGTCAACATTCTTAAGAGGATGGACACCACCTACATCGGGATTAGTTTCTTCTGGATTTTGAACTTTTGGAGATTCAGGAGAGTTTTTTGTGGCGGCATACTTGTAAGGTTAGAGGACCTCTTAAAATCGGGCTTAATTTTACGACCATTAGGATTATGATGCGTTTGGGAGTTTGACGCTGGTGGTCTGTAGCTATCTATTTCTGTTTTTCGCCTGCATGGTGTTCTGTCTGGAAGAATTTTAATATCCTTGAAAATCTGTTTTTGTCTCAATGAATTGTCGAAGATTAAAAACTCACTGGCGTCCACAGATGAGTTGAATCTGAACAAGATCGATGAGTACATACCAGGATGACTTCTTTTTAATCTTGTGCATACACATGGTATTTGTGTCACATTGCTGGCTCTAAGCAGACTAGATTTGATATTTTTAAGGGCATATGTGTCCGGTATATTAAACACAATTGCATTGTTGGATAGTCTTATTCTTTCAAATACCTCTGACGCAACACGACCTACGAAATTATGTATGTCATTCATTTGATCCGGAGTCTCTGTGAGGTTGGGTTTGTGAATGTTCATGTCTACCTGCAACTTTTTATATCATCCATATGGTTGCAGTTGCGATTATCATTACTGTTTACCAACAGAGTCTTCAACATTTCTGCAAGGGAGACGACTGATAAAAGCTTGTCTGCTTCCGGATGAACGAAGTAGCTCAGGATTAACACAGGTTCATCAACTTACTATCCTTATTACTGAAGACTCATTCCACTAAGAACGAAAACCTAGCAGCATGCTTAGATTCCCAGGTCATGTCAATTTAAACACTTGCATCCTTCTGATATAAGTTTTTTGAAAACTTTTCTTCATAACTGAAATAATGATTTTTTCATTGACTTGGATTTGTTTTAGTACTTCATTTTATACAGTCGTGTGCTTTATGTCATAATACGCGTCGTAGCGGGTAGATTGTATCAGCTTTTTGTGCAGAATGTACTCAATAGTAACAAGATGTAGTGCATTATTGACTCTCACTCTCACCGCATATACTGCGTTAATGCTGTTTTGTTTCCTGTCTACTGTAAGCATCAGACCATCAGCTTCTGTCGATATCAACGTTGGTCGTGCAATAGTCGATCGAGCGGACGATTACACTCTTCACAGCGGTCATCACAATGATTTGGGTTTAATAACTATTGATTTATCAGTAAGACTTCATTTCGAATAATTCCCTTCAGTCTTCCTTAGATCACCTGTTCAACTGGAATGTAAAACAACTCTTTTTATATCTTTCTGCAGAATACAAGTCCGCAGATAACAAACTAAATCAAGTTGTTTTGTGGGACAAAATCATCAAACGTGGATCTAAAGCTGAACTGGTTTACAAAAAAATGACTTCAAAGTATTATTTTTGGGATGATGGCTACGGACTAATTGGCAATGATAATATCACTTTGACTTTGTCTTGGAATACTATTCCTAACATTGGTTTTCTCACTTTCGATACTGGTAATGGTTACCACTCGTTTTCATTTCCCAGCCAATATGTCAATATTAAGTAGTGGATTTAAGCGAAATTCACTCCGACCACTGTATTATAAAATGTTCGTATGCTCGTTAGTAATGACATGTCAGGATTAATATCATTTTCTTTGTTAACATTTTCATTGTAACTAACTTCTTCACATTATTTTGCTGAATAACATAAATGTACGACAGGCGTACTGTCAACGCATTATAAATTGTACAATACAGCTTTTTTTTGAACTAGCCTCTTCATAATGGCCATCGTTTCACTCAGCCAGCAGCAGTGCTGGATAGGTAACATATTCAGATAAGTGAAATGTTTGGGAATGCCTTAAGCAGTCTTAGGTACTGGTAGACAAGCAGATATTTTTATTTAAAACCCAATTAGAGTGTTCCGTAATGGAGATAAAACTGGAGATCCACTGCAGTTGGAGAATGTATACACGGCAGTCAGTAAAAAAAACAGTGCGGATCACACAATGTAAATGTTTAGTTGATAGGTCGCGCGATACTATAACAATCCTTAGCGTTCCTTGTCGGTTTCAAGTCACTTCTAATATACCTTCCTACCTGTGCGTATTCGAACGTTGTTGTGGTCTCCACGATAATAATAGCTGGGGAAGTATTAGTTCTATTATATTTAATCAGCCGCCAAATTTTGTTCGACAGCTTCTCCCCCAGTAGTTCCACTGAGACGTATGTATAGGGAAATGATTTCATTAGTCTTATCACTTTCCGCTACTGTTTACTTCCACAACTTTTCTTTTAGCGGTTATTTTTCGCCAAATACCTAAGCTGATTGATCAAGGATATGGTCCGGGTTAGTCAACTTGTTAGAATTTCTGACAACTCAATAACCTTATCGAGCTACATTGTTTGGAATAGTGCTTCTTGAGTGCCGTAACAGTGGTGGCCATTTTGAAAGCGGCATAAACAATAGTCCCACTGTTCGAACTTGAGGGCGAAGCCGTGATGCCTGGTAACAACAGGGGTGGCTCGCAAACAACTGAGATTCATGACTAAACTATCTGCCTATAACTGTGTGGTGTTTTACATCGTTCCCGAAACGCTTTGTCGCGTCACTCCTTAACACTAATGACGAAGTTGGAGGTGTGTAAACAATGTAGAGTGACCAGGAAGTCACAAGATTCTGCATGACTAGATTGGCACTGTTGTTATTTGGACTTTATTATCTGAAGGCTATAAAATCATAGGCATTACTCTTGTTCCTCATAGGGCCAACCAGTAATTGTTAGTAGTATTCATCCTACACGCTATAAGCTTTGTACTACCGCCACCAAAGTTACTCTCTATCTAAATGTTCCAAGTATGCGGCCAGTGCTGGGGAATCTATGAAACATCCCTGACCCCTAGGAAACCGTCTTTTCATTTGACTTGAACTAATACGGTTGGGCTGATCCTCTACACACTCATAGACATTCGGTGTTCATGTCATCATCATGAAAAACCTAGTTTCTGAATGTTTAAGTAGAGCTAATACTTCACAGGACAAAAAAGAATTGGTGTAAACAATATATTTTTAAAGAAATATAAGCAACAGAGCAGTACCTTAACACCAACAATGTAGTGAAGGATGGGACAAATTCTCGACGAACTTCTAATATATTTATATGGGCGTTACATTAAATGAAAAAGTGTATTATTAAAGAGGAAACATGTACATAATTAAAATGTTTGGAATAATTAGGTGGCAAAATATGGCTTTAAAAAAATCTAGCGGCTTTCATCATCAAAGGCAAAAGTAAAGACAATGAATAGCAATAACTGCATCAATATAAATAAATCGATATAAACATTTATTATGATTTATCTGCTACACATTGGCTACTAATGAAGACGTGACATTTCTTCAACAACTTTGACTAAATCTTCCACAGTACACTCTCGTGTTTCAGGATCAGAAGTACACGTTGAACCAGCAGTCCCAAATTCATTCATGTTCACCTGAAAAATACGAAACTTTGAGTGCGTACGCTTAAAAGAATGCAAACAACAGTAGTCAGTAAAACTTCAGATTGTGCTTGTTAGCTTCAAAGGTAAATATGCAGTAAACCGAATTCCTTCCACGCACAAGTGCATCCCATTATAAAGGATTCTTATTTCATTCCCAAGAACAATTACAGTGACCCCTCCAAATACGCTAGGAAAAAATGACTCTTAACGAATAGGCTTGTTGTTTGTACTGGGAGATTTTCATATAATCCCTACATACACGCTTGAGTTCTCTATTTCTATGTCGGAGTACAAATTGAGTCAAAAAGTATATTTGGCCCACAATACCTTCTAACGGATTGAGGTTTATATGTCGGCCAATGCCGGGCAGATTCACATACTAAAGACCAGACAGTAGGTAAGGTGTGTAAATCTCCCAGTCATGGTCACCCACATATATTCCTGACTGAACCCAACCGGCAGTCTGCCCCTACCATCACGACTCAAAACAGTTAGTGATTTATTAGGAACTGTATGATGTCTTGCAGATTGTGGTATATGCTTCATGTTTCGCTCAACGATTCTGGATGGACACTTATTATTGATGACTATATGTGGGAGGCTAGATAGTTCCTTATCAATGATGTGTTCTGAGCACATTCATCTAGACCTTGAAGCTAAAGATTGAACTGGTTTTCCTTTTGCAGAAGAGAGTTAGGACCAAGGAAATATGAGAGGTTGGAACTATCGTTTCTGTGCGCCGAGTTCGGGCTTGAATTGATACATAAGTTTTTGATCTGACCTCTCTTCGACTGGTACCTTACTTAGTTTGACCCTCCTATCTTTGTTCTGACCTACATCAGTCTGTACTGAGAGTCGAGATCGATGGTAATAGTACCCCAAAAAGTGAAAAAATTCAATTTCGCACAAAAAGTAACAAATAGGAATAGCGCTAATATAAATGAAACCAGGTTTCAAAAAATGTCTTAGTGTTGACGACAACATGGAAACACTTCAGCGAAACGTAACAACGCAATTCCCTAATTATATAAAGATCTACTGAAATAATACGACGGACTATAGTGCGAAGTCGTGTATGGGAGACAGCTGACAGACGCAAGTGAGGACCGAAGTTAGACAAAGCTATTTACTCTCCCCTTTCTCTTTCTTCTGGATTATGAAGACCTCCACATCTGACGGGAAACACGGAATACAATGGACAGCTTGCATGCAACTAGACGATTTGAACTTCGTAAATACACATACCCACCAGCAAATGCAAGTGAAGAAGGACAGTATAGCAGCAGTAAGCCTCAACATATACAGAAAAAGCAAGATCCTCAAATACAACACTGAGAGCACCGACTAATTCACACTTGATGAAGAAGCTCTGGTAGAGACGGAAACTTCCACGTTACTGGGCTGCATCACCGACGATCAAGGAGGATCCGATGGAGAAGTAAAGGCGAGGATTGGCGAAGGTCTGTATTACTACACTTGAAGAGTATATGAAACTCAAAACAAGTGTCAACCAATATCCGAAACAAGACACGACAGTTCTACTGTACAGAGCAGAAACTTCCAGAACTACTACAACCATAATCAAAACGGTACAAGTATTTATAAACAATCGTCTACACAAGGTACTCAACATCCATTGGCCGGATACTATCAGCAACAGTTTCCTGTTGCAGAGAACATACCAGCATCCAGCTGAAGAGGAAATTAGGAATAGACGTTGGAAGTGGGTTACTTACTTACTTACTTACGCCTGTTACACCCAATGGAGCATAGGCCGCTGACCAGCATTCTCCAACCCACTCTGTCCTGGGCCTTCTTTTCTAGTTCTATCCAATTCTTGTTCATTTTTCTCATGTCTATTTCCATTTCTCGGCGTATTGTGTTCTTTGGTCTTCCTCTTTTCCTTTGGCCTTAAGGATTCCATGTGAGGGCTTGTATTGTGACGCAGTTGGGTGCTTTCCTCAATGTGTGTCCTATCCACTTCCAGCGCTTCTTCCTGATTTCTTCCTCCGCTGGGATCTGCTTAGTCCTCTCCCACAGTACGTTGTTGCTAATAGTGTCCGGCCAATGGATCTGAAGTATTTTGCGTAGACAATTGTTAATAAACACCTGTATTTTCTGGATGATGGCTTTCGTAGTTCTCCAGGTTTCTGCCCCATACAGTAGAACTGTCTCGACATTTGTATTGAAAATCCTGACCTTGGTGTCGGTTGACAGTTGCTTTGAGTTCCAGATGTTCCTCAGTTGTAAATATGCTGCTCTTGCTTTGCCGATCTGCGCCTTCACATCTGCATCAGATCCACCCTGTTCATCAATGATGCTGCCCAAATACGTAAAGGTTTTTACATCTTCCAAATCTTCTCCGTCAATTGTGATTGAATTGGTGGATTCTGTGTTGTACCGGAGAATCCTGCTTTTCCCTTTGTGTATATTGAGACCTACTGTTGCCACACTGTTCGTCTTCTCCCGCATTTGTTGTTGCGTTTGGGATAGAAGGGCCAGATCGTCTGCGAAGTCTAGATCGTCCAACTGCATCTTAGATGTCCATTGTATCCCGTGCTTCCCTTCAGACGTTCATGATCCAGTCGATCACCAGGAGAGAGACAAAGGGTGAGAGTAAGCAACCTTGCCTGACACCGGTCTTCACTTCGAACGACTTTGTCAACTGTCCTCCATGCACAATTTTGCAGTGTAATCCATCATATGAGTTCTGTATGATATTGACTATTTTCTCAGGCACGCCGTAGTGTCGAAGAAGTTTCCATAGTGTTATTCTGTCCACGCTATCAAATGCCTTTTCGTAGTCAATGAAGTTGATGTAGAGTGATGAATTTCATCCCGACCGAAGCTGCTACCTTGACGCGGTGGTCGGGCTTGCCTATCGTGATGACCCAACCGAGCTATATTGGCTGGAACATATGTGCCTGTAGGTCTCACCATGCCAGACAGGTCGACTGGAGAACGGTAAGACTGAAAGCAGCAACTCAAGGTCTGAGGGCGAAGTCGTACTACTAACTGTAGAGAGGTGTGACAGCAGTAAGGTGTTTCCCTCGGACAACCAGAATTTGCAGCGATGCTGCCTTCTCACAAGGAAGGAAGGGATTCTAAAAGGTTGACCCTAAATGTGTCACACCTCACCTTACCCCACGGATTTCCGTGGGTCGTTAAGGCCAACACTAATCCGACTTCCATTCCAGGTTACTCAAGCAATACCCTTCCACGGTGTGGGCAGCCGGGAAGTGACATCAGCCCTCATACCCGTAACAGCACACGAGACCAAGTTGGTCACATTCAAATCCTTCCTACACCTCCTAATACCTCTCTTATCTCCATGACTAACCCTCCTCACGTCTCTTTATCACCTCGCACCGCTAGAGCAAACGATTCGAGTACGTGGAACGCCATTCCTGGTCTCCTGAAACCACGCTCTAAACTACACGTAGGAGCTTTTAACGTACGAACACTTTACCAAATACGACAGCAGGCTTCCTTAGCTAGGACTTTAGAATCTCGCGCCATCGATGTGTGCTGCGTCTCGGAAACGTGCATACAGGATCCAAGTAGCATCATTCATTTGACCTCACCATGCCAAAATAAAGAACCGACTCGATTTACGCTTCGTGTATCTGGAAGCCCTGATTCTGCTTCCCGTGGCCTCGCCGGCGTAGGTATAGCATTGAGTCCTAGGGCAGAACTAGCTCTCTTAGAGTGGATCCAGTAGACAGTCGTTTGTGCGCTGTCCGACTGAACGGAACAGTAAGAATCCGGAAAGATAGGGACACTCGTCGTTGCCTCTTCGTCGTCTCTGCCTATTCTCCCACTGACTGCAGCTCAGATGATGTAAAAGATGAGTTTTACAGAAAGCTTTCGGACCTTCTCGTCCTTTTATTGATAGACGGATATCTCGCCTTCGCCACAGGTGACGTAAGTTGGCAAAAGCCAAACGAGCTTTTCGAATCCGTGCTGAGATTTCGTCAGATACCAACCCATTAGGGCTGATCAGACTTCCAAGATAAGTGAAGTTGTCAACGCGTTCGACTACTTCACTCCCTATCCTTAGTTCAGGTGTTGACGCAGACCAGTCCTGAAGCAACAACTTGCATTTAGAGGGAGAGAAGCGCATCCCAAACATTCTGGCATTGTTGCTTAGTGCTACCAGAAGACTCTGCATTTTGTCAGCGTCTTCACCAAACAGGACTATGTCATCTGCGTATTCTAAGTCGATAAGTGGACCTCCTGGATGGAGATCAATACCCGAGAATTCAGTCGACGAGAAAGTTATTTCCATCAGTAGGTCTATGATGAAGTTAAACAAAAATGGGGAAAGTGGACAGCCTTGACGGACACCACTTGAGGTTGCAAAAGTAGATGACAGTTCGCCATAAGCTCTGACTCGACTAGTAGTGTTCGAGTAAAGAGCCTTCACAAGGTTTATGTACTTCTGAGGTACGCCTTTCAATGACAGACACTGCCACAGAATCTCGCGGTCTACAGAGTCAAATGCTGCTTTTAAGTCAAGAAAGACCACCATTGTCGGACGCCGATAAGTATGCCTGTGTTCTAGAACCTGACGAATGGTGAATATGTGGTCGATGCAGCCACGACCAGGTCTAAAGCCAGCTTGGTTCTCTCGTGTTTGCAGTTCACGAGTCTTAGTTAGGCGTCTGATAATTATCGAGGCTAGTATTTTAGATATTATATTAGTTAAACTAATCCCTCTGTGGTTGTCACAGGATGATTTTGACCCTTTCTTATATATTGGGACGATAAGTGATTGTGACCAGTCAGATGGGATAACGTCTAACTCCCAGATCTTAGCTAAAATATTAGTCAACCTAATCGCTAAAATTGGACCACCATCCTTAAAGACCTCTGGAGCCAGTCCATCTGGACCGGCGACCCTTCCTCGTTTCAGATTAACTATAGCCTTTTGAACTTCAGCAAGAGTTGGGGGACCTACTTCAATGTTCCATTCACGCTGTCTGGGAATG